CAAAGGTTAAAATGCAACGTAGCTTTTAGCTGTATCAGCAGTTGCCATGATGCAATGCAATGCTGAATCATTTAATCGATTGAAATCCATGCTTCAGCTTACATAGAACGTGTACACGGCATATCACTGCATTCACCAATACGGGGAAAAAACATATCCTTAAATACAATTACAAACAGTATTCTCGATTATAAATCGCAATGCAAGGATGGCATAGCATTACTTGTGGAGTCAGTTGTGTTTAGACGATAGTCATGAATTATCCATTCAGTAAAGTAAAATTGCTATCCAATGCATGTATTAAATGTGGCGAGCTAAAGTACAATTATTACTGTCGTTTTATTAACTTCCAGAATATCAGCAGACTACGGTATTGTCTGCAAGGAGTGAACGGTGTGAGAGATGATCGTACATCACCACGTGTCATAAACATTTATCTTGTAAAGTAGTAAGACATTCAAAACACTGCAGTGCAAGAAGACAAAACACACATCTATACAGAAGTTCACACAATCTCTTTCAGTAAAAAAAAAGTGCCAGTATACATTGGATGTGTTTACAGGAGTGTATATTTTTACACACAAAGGAGTGCAATTTTGTGCACGTAAGTCTGTAAAGCAGTTAAGGTGATTCAACATAAAACAGCCAGGTGAATGGATGATCCAGCGCTCACTTATTCACTCGAGTCACGAGGTCACCCCACCGGCAAGCAGACACCTCCTTATCGCTCATCCATCACTACTACCCCATTGCTTTCCTATCTCCACTGCCATGGTCGCTGTTCCCGTGCACTTCCCTCGTCGATGCATCCAACCCATGTTGGATGATGAGACTGTTTAGTCTCATCCATCACACTGCGTTCACTCACCGCGCTGCAGGTCACAAACACTTCTCTCTCTACGTCTTCCCTTGCACTGTTCCACTTTGGAATTCCCTCCCATCGTCTCTCCTCCCCACTCCCGAAGCCTTTATAATTCTTATCTATTACAACTTTTCATGGTGCTATTTGTGACCGGCCACGTGACACGTTGGGCCCTTGAACCTGTGCTCAGCAACTGTGTAAATCACAATAAAAACAAGTGCACACGTATGAGCACACGCTGAGAGGGCATACAATGTTATTGTACACTTTGTTATGGGTTAGTCTATGGTTTAATCCCAGGATATACTTCCCTATCCATTTCTATAACAGAATTAAAGAGCACATCTGGAATTCTCCGAGACTGAAGAAAACGCAGCGTGTTTATAGACCTTCTGTTATCGTCATATAAACACTCACGCATGCTCCCTGGGGTGACACTAGATGAGAGAGATTCCTGTGGGAAAATCAAACAACGTGGGTGATTGTAGCCATCGCTGACACTGTAGAGAAGTTTCGTGAAGGGTACAAGCTCGTTCCTAAAAGCGTGCCATCTCTTGATACGTGCCAGCTGTTGCACATGAATGCACTGTACACCTGTATTTGATAAATACATGCTCCAACCAAGCCAGGGGAACTATAGAAAAAAAAACCTCAACATGTCCCTGTTTTGCTCAAATGTAAGATTTGACACGCACGCTGTAGATCAGTGAAGACAATTATGGTGCCTTTGATGAATCAACCCTCACGTGTGGCGATTCATCGCCGGGTATTGTCTGAGCACAGAAACACTTGGCCTGCGTGATGCAAGCGTCAAATATCTCGGCCAGCCGTTATCAAAGTTGACCGTGTTGACTTTGCTGGCTCGCAGAGCGCTTCCAGGAACGTAAACACAGCTCTTATGACTCAGATAAAGCCGTGCAAACGGCTCGCTTGTTCCACGCCTCGAATGGTGCAGATCAGCTTTTAGTGCACATGGCATGTGCTAACCAGCCATGGAGTCCTGCGGTTGGTGTGGGCCAATTTTACGCTCAACTCGTGCCACTTGCTGTCCTTGCTTGCCGAGCCCCCTTTACCCACACACACACACATACAAAAGACAAAGATCCCCCGCTAGCCTGAACAGACTTCTGGGGCAAGTGCTTATTTGGCGAGCACCTATGACGGCTGGCACGGCACACGAGGGGATGGATAGCAAGCATCACGAACCAAGCCGCCTTTGTCTCCCCAGTGACGATGTTTACACACTTGCACCAGGTACTCATTCCAGGCTGAGTCAACCTAGGGGAGGCCGAGGACCGGTTCAGATAATCGTCACCGGCGTTGGCCGTGAGCGGGTTCATAGGGCGGCATGCTATCTCGCGACACTACCGTCTTACTTACACGTTTACCCACACACACACACAGCGGGGCCCACTACGCTTGTACAATTTTCCTTCGGCATTCGCGAGGGATACGTTCCAGAGATTCGCGTGAACGGAAAATGTTGCGGATAATGATATTGGCTTACGAAAACGTATATATATTTTTTAATGAATTACCTTAAATAAACACGTAAATAAGCTATTTAATGAATGACAATTGTAATGACACGTCTCTGTATGTCATCAATTTATCGCATCACTTTCTTTCTCTCTCTTGCGATGCAGTAGGTGTCGAGTTCCTGATGCGATTCGCGGATAGCTAAGCCCGCAGATAGCAGGTTCGCGAATAACAAGGGAATGCTGTACAGTACGTACTTTTCTGCTGGTGGCTTCTGCTATAGGAGCCATCCATTTAGTGCATACGCATGGAGGGGGGTAACCCAAATGCGTAGCTTGCGTATGGGGGGTCTACTGACAAAGTACGCATAGGAAATGGGGGGGAGGGGGGGGGGTGAAGCCTCGATAATAATTTGTCTACATTGGCCTTCACATGAGTTAGATAGTCCGGCGGTGGACTATCCGTTTGCTTAAACACGTTAATATTATTCATCCTTGATCGTTTTCTGCGTGGATTAAGACATATTTTTGCGTACGTACTAAATGGATGGCCCCATACTTTCTCTATCTCACTGAGTACATTTGGCGCAAGCTATAGCACTGGACCGCTATTTTTTGGCCGCACGAGGCATCAGCAAACTAAGTAGAAGTTTAGGGCTCGATGACGATAATGGAGTGCGCCAAATTCATGAATTAGATAGGTGTGCACGGGACTATTACCTCAATTCAGATGCGAATAAATATAACTTTTTCCACCATTATAGAAACAATATGAAAAGAAAATTCCTTATATTTACTGAATGCTATTACCTTAATTGTTTCACACTAAACTAAACAATGTTTTATTTTACCAGTTAAGGCCCACTGAGATATAGCACTCTTTTGCAGAAGCTACCTGGCCACAAATGAAGTGGCTTATCACGTTGAAATTTATAGCAGCCAAATACTCAAAATTAATGTTTCTAAATGCGGAGGGAAGAAAACCAAAGGGCCCGGATAAAAATCCACGTGACCACGGGGACAACACGCAAACTGCAATTATACAGGAGTCAGGGTTGGCATCGATCCCACGACCCCCTGTATACCAGGCGAGGTAGTTAACATCTCACCACCGCGGCGAGATGTTGTGCATGTCCAGCGTATTATTATTGTAGTCGCGTAACATGCTCCAAAATAATATCTGCTCAGGGCGCTCAATGGGCTGGTGCTACCGCTGTTGCAAATATAACCTACAAATACACCTACTCTGAGCCACATAGTAATTACAATGTTTTGATGTTCTGCAGTAAACATTGTGTTACTTTATTAAAGGAAATATTTCTTTTGCCAGCAGTAACGTCTTGCAATTTTAAAGTGAAATTAAATGCCGCACATTGATGCTTCCATATGGTCTTCATGTGTTTCATTTCCTTAAAGAAGAGTGTATATTAATGTCTCAATGTTACGCAATGTGTTACTGATGTTTCTTTTTTGTTTAAGAAGTTTCAGAATATTTGTGTTTAGTTTAGGATCTGTCACCATGTGTTAAGGCAAGACTTTTTTGTGGTTTACCAGTTTAGATGAAAGAAAGAACACGTGAATGTACAAATAATTCCATTATACAGCAATGTGGCAGCACATTGTGGCCCACATCAGAGACTATGACCAAGGGTTTAAATATTTTATAATAACACAGAAAATGTAATGTACTAAATTTGAAGCTTTCGTGACTGCAAGGATTCACACTCTTTGTTTTTTTCGGTAAAGTCACGTAGGTAAAATAAAATAAAACAACTAAATTTTGATTTAAAGCTTTCGTGACTGCAGTAATTCACATTCTTAGTTCTTTCGGTAAAGTCACGTTGAAGGGAAACAATAAAATAATAAATATATTGTGTTATATATATATTATTATTTTATTGTTTCCCTTCAACGTGACTTTACCGAAAGAACTAAGAATATAAAACGACTAAATTAAATCACGACGTTTCGGAGGCAACACAAGCTTCCGTCTTCAGGTGTTATATCTGAACCTTTCCAGGGTTTCCCTATTTCATCCTACATTGGCCAGCATAAGTAAAAACAACAACCCGTGACTGACATAGCGTGGGGAGGCCGCCTTCATCCAGAAGTGGATTGACTCAAGGGAGTGTTAATTATTATTTTGGCTTTCATAGCCAGATCTGAAAATGAACCTAATTATAACACTGAGTACCTACAGTATGTAATCACACAGTCGCAGACTACGTGTACATGTTTTTCTCATGTGGTTTTTTATGTGCTTGACTAGTCTTGAGGCTGAGGAATGAGAAACGATCCCATCTGAGAGTGAATTGCATTTGATTGGGTGGTAGAACAAATTAATCAACATATGCAAAATTCCAATGCATGACCTCAATATCTCTTGAGATTTAGTGAGGTTTTCCTGGCTAAATGAAAGGCATCATTATCATCATCATCAGCGTCATCATGCATGATAAATTCACAGCTGAGTGAAGATCATCCCGAGCTATCACCGATTATCATTATTATACAGACTCATAGTCTCGACAAGGAATTTCCCTGCAGCCTTGGGAGTATTGTCTCTCATTTTTAAGTCGGCCATATAAACTCAAGGTGGTCGATGCGGTCGGTACGTTCAATGTTGACGTTTTCCCTGTGCTCTGCGTGCTCTTCCGCAGCTGGATGACTGTGCTCTGCAGCTTTCGCACAATGGCACATACCTGGATCTGGATTCCACGCTGGGCGAGCAACGCGACGAGCTGGAGGGCTTCTTTGAGGACAGCGGGTGCGTGTCCTATCTATCGGCAGATGCACCGCATGAAAGGACTGAAAGAATACAGAAATTGGACAAAAAGTCACTTCTTTGCATGGAGCCAGCTGTTGATGCAGTTGACTGGTATACGTTAAAGGAGTGGAGAATGACAACCAGCGTTGGTGGCCGTTTAACATATATATCTCTATGATTCTGATTCTAAAGATACTTTTGTTGTTGTTGTGTTCATCGGTTTTATACAAATTGATAACAGTTTTTTTTTTGCATTGCTGGAATCTCTAGAATAGCTGAGCGGCAGTCTTGTAAGTGGAATTACACAGTTATGGGAGCAGTTAGATCGCAGGTAAAAGTGCATAGCTCTGGTTCATGCCATTGCTGGCAGAAGAGCCTCCACTCTCAGAAGCTCCTGAAAGAGTAGTTTCGCCTACACTTCCATGTTAGCAGCAGATTTTTTTTCACGATATCGTGAAATGATCTATCTTGCACAACCACAGGACTTCTCTCTTGGACTACTGTATATAGATGAGTGGGTGTTTCGCAGTGCCAAGCAGCAGAAAGCCCTGCATGCAAACATTGCCCACAAAGCTGAGCCAAACCAAATGAAAAGGCAAATCCACATTTTGTGTGCCTGTGTTTTTAAAGTGCAGCCTTAGTGACCAGTTTGAAACCACTGTATTAAACAGCATCCTTGAATTATTGTAATTTTTTTTTCTTTTAAAGAGACATGTGAAGGTTTATTTGGTGTTGGATATCGCAGTGTTTGATTTTACTTAGTTGAATGAAGTGTTTATTTAATTAATGCGTTGTGTTAATATAAACAGGTGTACACTAACAGCAACTGAATCTATTTTCTACAAGGCCAGATCCAAGTCGTCAACTGTTTGTGTAACGCTCACTGAATGTGTATTCTATATTTCAAATGAACATAATTACATATCATGTTTGGGCTGTGTATGTCATTGGACATATTTTTAATGACTGAATTATCTTTGAATATGCCACTTGGTATTCTAACTATTTATCTCTCAGCTTCTCTGCCCAAGGGCAGGTCCATTGCTAAAGCTCTCCCAATAACCATCTTATCCGATGTCCCCCTTCAACGCACATCACCACACTCCATACCAGGGGGTTTGAGCCACAACACCACACTCATCACTAGGGTCCCAGAGCGACCACACCACACTCAGCACTAGGGTCCCAGAGCCACAACACCACACTCATCACTAGGGTCCCAGAGCCACAACACTCAGCACTAGGGTCCTAGAGCCACAACACCACACTCAGCACTAGGGTCCCAGAGCCACAACGCTCAGCACTAGGGTCCTAGAGCCACAACACCACACTCATCACTAGGGTCCCAGAGCCACAACACCACACTCAGCACTAGGGTCCCAGAGCCACCATACTCATCACTAGGGTCCCAGAGCCACAACACCACACTCATCACTAGGGTCCCAGAGCCACCACATCATCACTAGGGTCCCAGAGTCACAACACCACACTCATCACTAGGGTCCCAGAGCCACAACACCACACTCATCACTAGGGTCCCAGAGCCACAACACCACACTCATCACTAGGGTCCCAGAGCCACAACACCACACTCATCACTAGGGTCCCAGAGCCACAACACCACACTCAGCACTAGGGTCCCAGAGCCACCACACCACACTCATCACTAGGGTCCCAGAGCCACAACACCACACTCATCACTAGGGTCCCAGAGCCACAACACCACACTCATCACTAGCGTCCCAGAGCCACAACACCACACTCATCACTAGGGTCCCAGAGCCACAACACCACACTCAGCACTAGGGTCCCAGAGCCACAACACCACACTCATCACTAGGGTCCCAGAGCCACAACACCACACTCAGCACTAGGGTCCCAGAGCCACAACACCACACTCATCACTAGGGTCCCAGAGCCACAACACCACACTCAGCACTAGGGTCCCAGAGCCACAACACCACACTCAGCACCAGCGTGTTTATGGAGGCCTAGCAATTTGTAGAGCAAATTACGTTTTGTTCGTGGCTTAATTGATTCAAAGACTAATTTTCCCAAGTTGTTATTAAGGAACACATAACATGCAATGCTGGCTTGCTGTGTAATTGCTTGTTTGTATGTATGTATGCGTGGGTAGCAGATGGATGTGGATAATGCACTCCAGTGATTGTTTGGGGCTTAGCTATGGGGTGAGGTTCCAGACATAATTTAAACTTCCCTGCCCAGTAAGCCTTGTTACGCATGTGTCAGGGGTGGCTTGTGACACATTGCAACCCGCCCGTGATCCAAAACAGCTTAGAAGCACACAGGGTAATCGTTTTTGAGTGTCACATTTTGGAGCTGTGTATGTTGCATAGACAATGCTTTGGCTACAATTATAACCTGAATAATTATAGAGTATTACACACGGTACCATTATATATGCATAGAAATAGAGAACCTTTCCCAGTTACTACAAACTATTTTTTTATTTTATCGGTTAAAGCTTACTGATCTATATAGCTCTTTTTCGGAAGCGACCTGGCCACAAATGATAGCTCAAAAAAGTGTTTCATCATCACGTCGAAATGTAAAGCAGCCAAATACTCTTAAACGCACTTTTATTCTAAATGTGGAGGGGAAAACTGAAGGACCCGGAGAAAAATCCACGTTACCACGGGGAGAACATGCAAAGTCCAAACATACAGCCGTCAGGGTTGGGATCGAACCCACGACCTCCTCCATGGCAGGCGATAGCGATAACGTCTCACCACCGTGGCACCATCAACAAGTTCGGCTTGTTCATGTGGTTGGTTGCCCTCTAAATTGTCCATCATTCTGTTTCCATGATCTTGGACATATTGGAGAGAGGTCTGTGATCCCTTGACATTTGTAAAGTATTTGATTGTGGATGGTATTGCACACTACGAGCTGCGATCATCTGGTGTCCACTCTAATCTGCGGGCGTGGAATTTCTTTTAGCTTCTCAAACTGAAAGGTCAACGCATGCATTAGCTCTGGTGTTCTTAAAGTATCTATTTTGTCTCCAACACGATTTGTCCTCTTTGTTAATGACTTATGATCTTTCACCCACAATGCGATCCACTCCTTTTGCAGATGACAGTCGACTTCATACCTCATATCCATTTAAATGACAAGCTCAAAGTAATATGCATTTTGTCTGCCTAATCCACAGATACTTTACTGTCAATCACCACCAATGGCTTAAAAACAATCCTTTAGATGGTGACTGCTTGTGATGCCACTCACCTCTTATGTAAGCCATGGTTGGAATTAGAACTCAGATCCCCAGGTTTATTGCACCCCTACGATCAGTGCGGTTAAAATAACCCTGATGCCCTTTATCAATCAGTAATTTGAGAAAAGGTTGTAAAATCTTATAATTATCATTTTACTTTTAGCGTTTAGTTGGAGCACATACCACTATGGCACTCTCTGCGCTAAGGCTGTTGTGTGTCCCGTGCACAGATTGCACATCACAGCACATACATTACATGTTTTCAATGTTTCAAACTTGCAGGTGCGGCACTATTGTAGTTAATTGTAATATAATGCTCTGCAGTAAATATGTCAACTGCTTTCTATTCTCCGCACCTGGTGTGAGTAATGGAAAGAATACGTGGCGGGTTACATGCCGAAGCTGAACTCTTAGTACGCCACTCTTATATAAATGTCTACACACACATACACAGTTAAATAAACGTACCATATATATGCGGTCTACGATCTGTGTGCAGCCCATCATCGCGAGTGGTGAAATAATGCATTGATTCTCTAATTAATATCGGTTTTTAAGCTCATGATACATGCATTGAAGCACGTGCTTAATAATTTGATGCATTTCGATTCGTATGTATGTTTTAGACAGAGTGGTGGCAAAGCAATTTGTGCAATGTGCTAACGAACCTGGCGGCTAACACCAGTGGCAAGCAACGTCTAGACCAGTCCTAGGCCTCCCCTTCATCACCAACTCGCACTCACCAGCACATTGAAGTACGGTCTAATAACCAATGGCCCACACAACACGGGGAGCCCTTTATCCAGCAGTGGATTAATAAATAGCCGTAAATAATGTAATTTATATTGTATGCAATGGGTTCGCATCAACTATGAAAACGTCCACTGAAATACAACCCTCAATCCTGACGATTTATCAAATCGCAGGAGGGCGAGGTGAGAATTATTCGCAGCCCTAACAATTTCTGTCACACACTGCGGTGTATTCCATTCTCTGTCAGACACTTCCAGACATCCGGGCAGATTACTAGTTTTCTTGGTCTGTCGGGCTTGAATGCAGGTCAGCAAGCAAGTGTGGATTATAGGACGATTTAGCCCCATTGTGACTCTTCACTTGTGGTCTTCAGCATCTGCTATATACCCACCACACCTTTGAAAGCAGTTTTTGGAGTGATTAATTAATAATTTTTCTCCCTTTGGTGTCAAGACATGTTTGAAACTCAGCAATATAGAATGTATATATACGTAACAATAAACTCGTAATTGAGTTAGACATTGCTTGTAGTGACAAGCCTTATTATTATTATTCTTTTATACGGCTGATGTAGATGCAGAGAAACAACTACAAATTCACATTCATGTGGTCAAGCGAGACAACCGCGTCAGGAGCAGCGGAGTGGTGCATCATCATCGTTGTGATGTCTCCTTCGTATTTGTGGATTGGGGCATTGCGTTGTTATACGCTGCACGGTCTGTTCTGGATGACCACAGTCGCACACTGGAGGGTTTTTAATTTTCCATATCGGCATCAGGTATTCGCATCTGTCATGCTTTGTGCAGATGCAGATTAGGGTGGACCATGAGCTTCGTGGAAGATCAAACCCAGGGATCTTCTGCGTTGCGACACCACTTATGATGTTTATGCCAGATGATAAAATACCGTTCTGGTGGTTAAACAGATGCCTTGTTAGAATGTTGTGTGCCGTCAACCTTCCACATTGGGGAAGGGAACAGTTCACTGCCAGTACGTGTGCTGATGAATC